CTGAGCCACCTTGGTGGGAGGGCGGGGTAAAAGTTTGATAATAAATAAATAAATAAATAAATAAATAAATAAATAATGTCCCTTCCAGCCAGCCGGGCCACATGGCACTGTAGGGTGGGCGGAAGTACCGTGGCAAAGGGCTTTTGGCAAGGGAGGGGTAGAATGGGGGTGGAAGGCCAGTGTGGCGCCTCCTTTCAGAGGGTGCTTTAGGCAACTGCCTAACCCCACCTTATGGACACGCTGGCCCTGCTTTTTGCCCCATCACTTTCTCTTTCTGCCCCACCCCATCACTCTTTCTGCCCTAGGCTCCACCCCTCAAATCTCCAGGTCTTTCCCAACCTGGAGTTGGCAACCCTATCTCCCTCCCATCCAACAGCCAACCTAGTTGGCAACCCTATCTTCCTCCCATCCAACAGCCAACCTACCTTTATCTGCCCTTCTGTCTTCAGCTTTCCATCTCTGCCTTCCCACCCCCACAGCCACTGCCTAGGAAAACCATGGTTTTTCCCCACAGTAGGGATCAAAGCAGCTTACATTACTCTGTCCTTCTTTTTATCTGCACAACAACCCTGTGAGGTAGGTTAGGCTGCAAGTATGTGACTAGTCCAAAATCCCCCAGTCAGCTTTCACAGTAAAATGGGAATCTGAAACTGGGTTTCACAGACCCTGCTCTGAAGCTCTAACTGCTGTACCATACTGGCCTTTGTAGGGTGACTCTTTTGAACAGTAGCAAGCAGCCAGGTCTAGGTGAGTCAGGCAAGTCATGTGGTATTAAGTCACCTAGAGGGTGCTGCCAGGCATAGGGTTGCCAACCTCCAGGTGGGACCTGGAGATTACCCAGAATTATGACTGAACTCTAGACAACAGAGATCGGTCCCCGTGGAGAAAATGGCTGCTTTGGAGGGTGGATGCTGTGGCTTTATATGCAGCTGAGGCCTCTCCCCTCCCCAAAACCTGCCCTCTTCACATTCCATCACAAAATCTCCAGAAATTTCCCAACCTGGAGCTGGTAACCCTAGTCAGGCCTGGCCCCAAGGATCCCTTCCTCAAAGGCCAAAATAGGCCTGGAAAGGGGCCTGCCCCTTCCTCCTGCCCTCTACTAACAGAACCAAGCTTTGAATACTATGGTTGCCTAGCAACAGCCACAGGCACTCCTTTTATAATTTTCAGCTTTAACTGCCCAATGTACTATTGCTAGATTTCATATTTTTCTGCTAACTTGGTGCCATTTTCAGGTTTGTACAAAGATCTGTCTTGCTTGTTCACAGCTCTCATCACTGGATTTAAGTATCCAAAGATATCTCAACTTCACTATTAGAATGCAAGTTCTAAAAATATAGGCAAAGGGTGAAGGAGTAAATGTAGATTTTTAAAAATAGTGCAAATACAAAATCATGCAGATACATGTTTATTTTTTAAATGGTAAATCTTGTGATTGCGTAGTGTGTAATGAATACCTATATGCATATTTACACCCATGCCCTTGACACAGTTATAGTTTCGTTTTTACTTATTTTTCCCTAGCCTGTCCAGAGTCGTATTGCAAAAATGGAGGAACATGCAACAAAGAAGCTTTTCCCCTCTGCAGGTAAGAGTTGCTGTTGTCTTCTTGATCAGCACACTTATTTTTGGGAGCTATTGGGGAATGCCAAGGCAATCCTATCCTCACAGTGGTGGATCCTCACAAATCCAAACTTCACAGTCTCTGATCTCTTCCCTTGGAAGAGCAGCTTCCAGCCAGTTTTGAAAAGCAATGATGATTTCAAATTTCTTATTCTTCCTGCTTTGAGTGCCAAATCTTCCTTGTGCGAATTGAACCCATGAATCTATTTTCAAGCCATCAGGGCAAGGATATGTGGGCAAACTCCTCATCTTCCCACCCTCAGACTACTTGGTATTCAGCTAGGCTCCCTCACTTGGGATTCTGTGCTGCATCTTCTTTGTCATTACCACCAAATGAGGCTATCACCTAGTCATGATTTCCTTCCTAAACTGCATATGACAGGATTGAGAAAATATGGGGGGCTGTGAGGACTTAACTTTCCTCAGGTGCTCCTCCTTCCATGGTGAATACAATTCAAGGGGCACCTCACTTAGAATGCCCTGCTAGTATTGCGCATTTCCTCTAAGGCTGAGGTAAACTACTGTTTCATCTGATATCTGGGAAAAGTTGAACCCAAAATCCCCATTTTAATTGTACTTCTTTGTCTGAGGCTTAGATCCTAAGCAGCATAGCCAGACTAGAGAAAGGCACATTTCCTGCCCCTCCATGGCCACTGCAGCCTCCTGTGTGCCCAAATGAATGCTTCGTTAATTCAGTTTATTCCACAGGAACAGTGTGAGAGGCAAACTGAGGTTCTGCATTTGGGTGGGGAACTGGCAGAAAAGCCCTCCCCTCCTCCATCAATGAAAATGCAGTTCTGTCAGCACCACAATTGTTATGCTTATGGAATGACAACTTAGGATACAAGTGTATTTTCATGTGATTTTATTTTTTTCCCCCACACCAAACTCTTCTCAGAAATGGTTTGCATTTAGAAACAAAATCAGTATTATAGATTGTATAGACACAGAAATGCCCTGACCTGGATAGCCCAGACTAGCCCAATGTCTTCAGGTCTTGGAAGCTAACCAGGATCGGCCCTGGTTAGTATTTGGATGGAAGACCACCAAGGAAGTCTGGGGCCGCTATGCAGAGGCAGGCAATGGCAAACCAACTATGAATCTTTCTTGTCTTAAAAACCCTACGGGCTGCCATAAGTCAGCTGCAGTTTGACATCACTTACCACCACCACCACCACACATTGATACTATATAAATTGCATATAAAAACAGTATACAGCATGTGCACAATGTGCAAAATGACCACCTATGAATGGGAAATAAAATGGATTGTCTCGGCTTGCAGCCTATTACCAAAGGCACTCTTTCTGTGTAATTTCATAAATGCACTAGGCTTTTTTCATCCCTTATTCATGAGATTGCATGTAGGAGATGGGATCATATGTATGTGTGCGTGGATGATACATCTTATCAATTTTTACTGGACCCAAATGAACGAGGTTGGGCCCTGGATGGCTTTGTGCCAATCACGGTTAACTCCAGTACCATATCTACCTATCTACCTACCTCACTTATTAAGTATGTAACTCTTTGTGATTATTAGTGTGGAAAACAGTATATGCTGCCCTTTTTAGAAGGATAAAAATCTAATAGATAATAATAAAATTGGGATAATAATAATAACAACAACAACTGTGGGCCTGAATGTGGTGGCCTAGTGGCAGAGGGAGAACCAGCTGGATCCAGGTAAGATGGAGGTGATGTGGGCTGGAAGGGTTATTGTTTTACAGAGGATTGCGCTTCCTATTATCAGTGGTCTGCAGCTTCTGTTAAGAGCTTAGGAGTCCTGCTGGATCCAAGTCTCCTGTTGTAGAAACAAGTGTCCATCCACGACAGCAAAAAAATGCCCTTTCCAGTTACATTTAATTAGGAAGCTGGCTCCCTATTTTCAGTCTCAATTTGGCCATACTGATCTGTGCCTCAAGGCACATTACTGTAACAAGCGCTACCTGTTGCTGCCCTGGAAGACTATTCAGAAACTGCAGCTGCTGCAGAATGTGGAAGCCTGTTTCTTCTCAGCACTATGTGGCAGGAGCACATTACTTCCATGCTGAGGTCCCTCCCCTGACTGCTAATTAGTTTCCAGGTTCTATCCAAGGCAGTGGTTCTTACCTTTAAAGTCCTTCATGACTTGGGGACCGCATATGTGAAGGCCACCTCTCCCTGCAGGTTCCCATGTGGCAGTTTCATTTTTCCCAGCAAGGTCTATTCTCAGTGCCTGTTTTATCTAAAGGGCATTCTCCAGTGGTCCAGGCTTGAACTTTTTCTGTGGCTGTTCCAGGTCTGTGGAACAGCCTCCTGGAAGAGCTCTGTGGGGGCTTCTAACCTCCAGGCCTTCTAGCAAGGCTTTAAGGACAGAGCTATTCTGGGAGAGCTCTTGGGGAGCCTGAGTCTGGGCCAAGGGGGACTATTTTCCTATTCTCCTGGAGAGCCAGTTTTGTGTAGTGGTTAAGAGTGATGTTCTCTCTTAACTGGGTTTGATTCCTTGCTGCTCCACATGAAGTCCGCTGGGTGACCTTGGGCCAGTTCTCTCAGAACTCTCTCAGCCCCACCTACCTCACAAGGTGCCTGTTGTGGGGAGACGAAGGGAAGGTGATTGTAAGCCACTCAGAGTGTGCGGTCAGACGACGTGCTGAGAAGAAGAAGAAGAAGAAGAAGAAGAAGAAGAAGAAGAAGAAGAAGAAGAAGAAGAAGAAGAAGAAGAAGAAGAAGAAGAAGAAGAAGAAGAAGAAGAAGAAGAGGAAGAGGAGATTGGATTTATACCCCGCCCTTCACTTGGAGTCTCAGAGCGGCTTACAAACTCCTTTCCCTTCCCCTCCCCACAACAGACACCCTGTGAGGTGGGTGGGGCTGAGAGAACTCTGACACAAACTGCTCTTTTTCAAGGACAGCTGTGCCAGAGCTTGTGACTGACCCAAGGTCACATCAGCAGGTGCAAGTGGAGGAGTGGGGAATCAAACCTGGTTCTCCCAGATTAGAGTCCGCACACTTAACCACTACACCAAACTGAGGGTTAAACTGCTCCGGTTCTAACCAGATTATATTTGATCTGGATAATCGCGATCACACTTACCTCACTTATCCCACCTCACCGCACAGTCACGTCGCTCCCCGGTGTCTACACTACCAACACGTGGGAGCACGCGTTGGCAGGTTTTTAATTTTTTTCTCAGTTTGCACATGCGCATAGGCTCCCCTTTGTAGAATGGGCGGGTGAAACTACCATGGCACATGCGCAGCACCAGGGCGAATCAATCCAACCCCTCCAACAAAAGACTTCCCTTTAAATGTTTGACCTGAAAATGGCCTCCTTGAGATCCCAAACTCATCTAAACGCTAAAACAAGTGATTGTTTAAATGTCGGTTTTCTAAACTTGGTGCACCTATGCGCATACCATCAATGCATTAAAAATGGTGGGCGAAAAGCGGAAGCCTCTGGCAGCTCTCGAGTGGGGAGGGGGTTTAAACCAGAAGTGGCTTGACACCGAGGAGCGATCACACAGGAGGGAAATGCGGCTTTAAATGGGAGAGCTGAGAAAACACCACTTTGGGACCTAATAATGAAATACTCCGGGTTAAAGCGGTTTTGAGCCAGAAACCAACTGCTGGGTACGGGAGGCAGATGTTGACTGTGTGATTGTGCATATAAAATCCGTTTCTGAAGCGTGACGACACCAGATCAAATGGCACGTCTGAATGTACCCTGAGAGTCCTTAGGGTAGAGAAAAGTAGAGTATAAAAGCCAACTCTTCTTCTAGTGGGGCCTAAGATATTTCTAGATTGGTTTTTAATATGATTTTAAATGTCTTATTGTTTCTTTTTATTCAGTTCTTTCCATGGTGCTTTTATATTGATGTTATCCATCTTGGGTACTGAGATGCTCAGTAGAAGAGCGAATACATAAATATTTTTCAGCTGTGATGTTGGGAAAGATGTTGCTGCACTCCTTTTTAACACATGTGATCCTCTGACACAATCAAATAAAGCATTGTGTAATGATTACATACCCTTGTCTAAACTGATATATGACAAGATTGCATGCACCTGACTAACCTGATACATAACAAATCTGAAAATGGATTATATGTGCATGTTGATTCAAATACCTGACCACTGATGTACATGGTAAGTACTAATCAACCCATCCTGATGTGCTTCTGTAATTATACCATGCCTCTTCAGACAGAATGCTACGGTGTGAACACATGGGGAGTTTATGAGCAAGTGTTCTGACTGATCACATAAGCTGAATAATGCTTCTATTTTTATTTAAAAGAAACTCTTTCAATATTTATGTGAGCAGTACCATACACATTTGTTTAGGAAATATCATTGGAACAAAACAGGAAATTATTTAATTGAGCTATTTAAATCAAGTGGTTTTTTTTCCTTTGAGTCATAAATCATGCTTTACATCACCTTGATTTTATACCAAACTATCCTGTTGGAGTTTTCAGCTAAGGAATTCAGAAGAAATGGAAGGATTGACATTGTGTCCATATAGCTTTTGAAGGAGTATGCCTATATAAAGTAAAAGTTTCCCTTGCTTGAAAGCCAGTTGAATCCGACTCTAGGTGGTGGTGCTCGTTTCCAAGCTGAAGAGCCAGCGCTGTCCAAAGACTTTTCCATGGTCATGTGGCTAGCATGACTAAACGCTGGGGTACACAGAACACTGTTACCTTCCCACCAAAGTGGTATCTATTTATCTACTTGCAATTTCTTGCTTTCAAACTGCTAGGTTGGCAGGAGCTGGGGCCAAAGACAGGAGATCATTCTATCACGCGGCACTAGGGTCTTGAACTGCGGAGCTAGTGACCTTCCAGTCTGTAGCTCAGTGTCTTAACCTCTGAGCCACCATGGCCCCATGCATATATAAAGTCCCCCAATTATCAGTCCATAGTACTATTTTTGTTTCCATCTAATTACTACTTCCTTAGTTCTACCATATGAATGCTGTTCAAAGCT